GACTCGACCAGCACACATTAGTCGGGTGATGTATTCATTTACTAGGACTCCTGCAACATACTGAATGTCTTAAAACAATAGATATTTGGTGTCACATTTTTAGAGGCTAGAAATCCAAAATCAAAGTGTCAACAGAGCCATGGTCCCTCTGAAGTTCCTAGGGAAGAATTTGTTTCATGTCACTCTCCTAGCTCCTGGGGGTTGCCAGCAACCCTTGGCATTCCTTTCCTTGAAGACACGTCACTTTAATTCCTGCCTCGATCTTCACGTGGTCTTCTTCCCTATATCTCCTCGGTGTCTCTGTATCCAAATCTCCCTCCCTTTTCTCTTATAAAGATATCAGTCATTGGATTTGGGGCCCACCATAATCCAGTATGGCCTCATTATGGAAACTTGACTACATCTGATTCTATTTCCAAATGAGGTCACACTCGCAGGTACCAAGGTTAGGCTGTATATCTTTTGGGGGTACACAATTCAACCCACTACAGGTGGTATGGGGTCAAGTGCAGGGATGCCTTCCAGGCAGAAGGAAGTCCTAAAGCATGAGAGTGAGAGGAAAATGGATGAAGGGTGAGGGGAAGAGCAGAAGGCAACTGGGCTGCTCAGGAGGAACTCAGTGGTCCCCTAGGAAGTCTGACAGCATCCTGTAGAGAGAGGAGTGATATGTCAGGTGAGTGGTTCAGAAAGTTCACTCGGCCCTTGCAGAACAGGTGGATTGAAAGGGTGGAGGGAGACTGAATCCAGGAGGTCAGTTATTCTTTTTATGCCTCTGTCTATGCTGTTCCCTCACTTGCCGTCTTCTTCCTCAGTGACTTCATTTCTTTCTCTCTTCAAAATTGTTTCAAAGACACCTCCTTGGAGCTTCCCTTGCCTCTCTGAATTGAAAGAAGATTATGGTGTAAAGGAAGGGCCTTTGGTACCAGACAGACATGATTTGAATACTTCCTAGCCCTTTGGCCCTGCACAAGTTGCCTCTGTTAATCCCTTGGGACTTCCGTTCCCCCCTAGCAGCATGGTGAAAATAGACTCTAAACCACAAGGTTTTAAGAGAATATTAGGCAATATGCATCAAGTAGTTGGCACATAGGAGATTTTCCACAAATGCTTAACTCTCTTTCTCCTCAGGTTATTTTGATAGCGCTTTATTTATCCTGCTCTTTAGCATCTATTGCTCATATTATTAAGCTTTGTTGTGTCTCCTTCAGTAAGTAGCAGCTTCCTTCAGGGCAAACACGGAGCCTTGTGCATCTCTGCAGCTCTTGACACAGAGCCTGACACACAACATGGTTCATCTTCAGCCCTCTTCCCTGGAAGCAGCCTGTTTTGTGTTTGTGGCCCAAAGAAACACATACACACACACACACACACACACACATATGCACTCATACGCAAGACACCAGTAGGGAGGAAGACCTTTTCACCTCTTCCTCCCTTTCAGGACCACCCCACCTGGGGGCACAGTGGACATGCGAGCCTCAAACTGTTTTTAGTATACCAAATCCAAGAAAAAGACCCAGTATTCATCTGCAGGGGAGCTGCTCAGACAAATCCAAATATCTGCCTTGACCTGGAATAATCTCTGTTGATCAGAACCTCTAATTAGCATTTGTAGACTTTGATTGCTATAAGATGAGAAAAGTATTCAATAAGAGTCTTAATAAATGTTGTCGGTTTGGCAAACTGAATCTTTACTGGTGACCATCAAGGTTTGTAATAGATGGGGGCACTAGCCCTCTGCCACAGCCCCCAGCTGATTTTCTGCATCCACTCTTGCCTGTGCCAATCTGTTCTCACCTGGCAGCAAGAGTGATCTTAAATTATAATTGGACCCTGTCAGGCCTCAGCTTAAAATACTTCAGTGACTTCCTTCAGCTCATAGAATAAACTCCAAACTCCTTCCCCAATCCACAGCGTCCCATCAGCTCTGGCCTCTGCCTGCCTCTCTCAGCCCAGCTTCGGCCTCCATGGCCTCCCAATTGCTCACACGCCCAGGGCTGGTTACCTTTGGGACTTTTGCACATGCTGCCCTTTATTCACAGAAGGCTTCCTCCCCCCTTCTCACCCAGCGCGCTGTCCATGTGGCCACCTCTCTTTGAGCCTGTCATCTTGCTTAAATGCCACCTCCTTAGAGAGGTCTTCCCCAGCCACACTATCTAAAGTGGATGCTCTGTCTCAGCCCCTGCCATTTCCTTCCCTGCATTTGCACAATTGATAATCTTTGAGTGGGTTTGTGTCTGTGGGGATATTGTCTGTCTCCAGAAACTGCTGGAAAATAGCTCCCTGCCTGTCATCTTCACTATTATATCCCAGCACCAGCACATAGGAGGGGTTTAAAACAATGAATGGCATATGAGGTTTGGAACCTGAGCCTCTGTCCCTTTGTCTCCCTCTTCCCCTCTCCTGCGCTCCTGTCCATAACACCAATGCCAAGTCTTTGGCTTTGTCTGATTATCAGATCAGCTAAGCTGAATGCAGTGAACTGGCATTTTAAATTTGTGGTCTGGGATATCAGTCCTTGTGTATGACTCCTGTATAAACTATTGATTATTGGCAGAGCCTCTCCAGCCCATGCCTGGCTCTCAGCCACATCGTCTTCCTCCTAGAAATGTAGGCTGCGTTGTTAGGGGAAGAGCAGAAATGCTGGAGTCTGACCTGGATTACGATTATATAATGGAAATTCCAGCTTACTCTCTAACCAGCCCTTGACCCTGGACAAGTTACTTTCCCGCTCAGAGCCTCAGTATGCTCATTTTAAAAGATGAGACTGATGCTGCTTACAAAATAACAATGCTTGCACGGACTCAATGGAATCATGTGAAAGTGCCCTGTACCCAGTGGTTGTTATAGAAACATGCTTTCTTTCATGTCTATTGATCTCCATATATTTGCTTTTCTCAACTTCCTGTCAGATTGGGATTTCATTCATTCATTCATTTATTGCTTCGCTCACTCATTTGTTCAACTGATCACCCTCAGGGACTTCGGATGGTCGGTAGAGTCAGTCTCTAAATAAAAGAGGAGGGAGCCCAAACTCCCATAGCTAACTCTGAGACCCTCATTGTCTTCCCTCTCTCAGTCCAACTGTATTCTCCTTGGCATCCCAATACCACCTGAATTCAAGTATGGAGTTGCCTTTCTTCCCAGACAACTTCACCTCCTCTCTGCCTCCAGCTCTCATTTCATGTTATTAAATCCAAAGAAAATAATGTCCTTGTCATGTCACCTAAACTTCAAGTCCCATTTCCTCTTTCCTTCCCTGATGAGTGTGGCCCATGCCAATCTCTCTTTTCTGAGAGCATGTATAACCGCACCCACAGCTGACATTCGGTCCCCTTTGTGGTTGGCTGCTGATTTCACAGTGCATCAAGCAACACAGAGAAGGAAGGGAGCAGCTTGGCACAGCAGTAAGTGTGTGTGTTTGCTTTCCCTTCTGGGAAGCACATTCTCCCCCTTTTTAATCCAGTGTGTGGCCCCAGCCTCACACAGCTCCTGGTGTTGAGGAATCCCCACCTATATCTATGAAAGGTTCTACCTAGGAAACCCAAGAGACTCATTCAGATTAGTCCTAAAAACTCACTTGGGAGGATAATTTAGCAATATTTATTTTAAGATTGTTAAATAGATGCTCTTCTCCCCCACAAAAATTATTCCTACAAGTCAACCAAAACCTTAGCAGAAATGTGCAAAGCTACATAAAGATGAGAATGTTCCTTGCAGTTTCATGTGAAATGGTGAAACACAACAATGTCCATTTCTGCAGAAAAAGAAATGAAGGGGCTATATATGTCCATAATATAGTATTAGATAGAGAAAGGAAGTTACATAAAACTATGTAAAACATGGTCTCATTTTGAAGGAACACTATATATGTGTACACATTGAAAGAAAGTCTGGAAGCATATGCCCCAAACCTACCATTAAGTGAAAAGCTTTGGAAAACAGGTTGGTTGTATGGAAGAGAGACTGTTTTTAAATTCAGTACATCTGTATATTGTTTGCCTTTTTCTGCCTTGAGCATGTCTTATTTTTTTTAAGTTAAAACGATATTTTTAAAAAGAGATAGTGATAAATGGATTGGATCCTAGAACAGAAAAAAGACATCAGTGAAAAAAACTGGCGAAATCCAAATAAAGTCTGGAGTTTAGCTCATAGTAGTATGCCAATGTTGCTTTCTTAGTGATAACAAATGTACCATGGAAATATAAGATGTTAGCAATGGGAGAGATGGCGAAGGTTCTACAGAAACTATTGTCTTTGTAACTTGTCTGTGAGTCTAAAATTATTCCACAATAAAACAATGATTAACAAGAGAGAAAGAGAGTCACCGAGGCCTTTAGCCAAGGCATTTTTGGCTGCCAGAATTTTGGTCCCAGAAAAATTCAGGTCACTACTTGAGCTCTTTTGCTCTGAGAGTTCTGTCTCTGGCCTGCAAATCCCCCATGTGGAGATCCCTACCTGGCCTCTTGAGGTTTGCAGGGATTTTTCTAAGCCAGGCCTGTGTTTAGCTGTTATCTCCAGAGTTCTGTTCTAGGGACCGAAGTCTAGGCTCACTCCTGCCTCCACCGTGGCTAGGCCAGCTTCTCAGAGACACCACAGTTCCCCCCTGCCCTCCACCCACCCGCACACTTTTTTAACCTCTATCCTTTGTCCAGTCCAGACCCTGCCTTCTCAGTATCCCCCTTCTAATCTGGAATAATGAAGATATGGGACTCAGGGGCAAAGTCTGGGGACTGAAGAGAAGGGTGCAGTCTGACAGTGGTAGCAACATGGAGCTCATAATAATAAAAAACATGCACAAAACCTATACCCCTCATCCTTGTTCCCATTACTAGTTACCTCTGTGGGAGGAGTTGGTCAACTAGAATCATGAGGACACTGCCAGATGTTGCCTTCTCTCCATTCCTGCAGAGCTTCATAGGTTTAAGGTCTTCCCTGACCAAAGCCCCTAGAAAGAAGGTGCTGAGCCCAGGGTGACATTGCCTCTTCTCTCCGTACAGACTCCACTTCCTGGTGTTCGACACAGAGGAGGTTCACGACATGCTGCGCATCTGGGATGGACCTGTGGAGAGCGGGGTTCTACTGAAGGAGCTGAGTGGTGCGGCCCTGCCCAAGGACCTTCACAGTACCTTCAACTCAGTCGTCCTGCAGTTCAGCACCGACTTCTTCACCAGCAAGCAGGGTTTTGCCATTCAGTTCTCAGGTCTGTGCAAGCCCTCTGCCAGCCCCTCCCCACATGTACTGCCACAGGACTCCACCTCCCTCAAATCCCTCCTTCCCCCCATCTCTCCATCCATGCAAGGATATTTATTGAACACGTACTATGTGCCTGGTGTGTGGTTAGTGCCTGCTCAAATATCCATGCAGAGCTTACTCTGGTAGAGAGGACAGGTGGGATCACAGACACTTTCAGACAAAATTGATACGTTTCTGGGTGGAGAAATCTGGGCTAAAAGGGTCACTTTGGGGTATCAAGGAAGATGTTCTAAAAAAGATGATGCCCCAACACCGGACGTGATGGCTCAAACCTGTAATCCCAAATTTGGGAGACTGAGGCGAGAGGATTGCCTGAGCCAAGGGTTTTGAGAATAGCCTGGGCAACTTGATGAGACCTCATCTCTACAATAAATCCAAAAATTAGCTGGGCATGATGGCGCAGGCCTGTAGTTCCAGCTACTTGGAAGACTGAGGCGGAAGGATCGCCTGAGCCCAGCAGGTTGAGGCTGTGGTGGCCATGAGCATGCCACTGCACTCCAGCCTGGGCAACAAAGTGAGACCCCAACTCAAAAACAACAAAAATATGATGCCCCAGCTCATACCTAAAGGATGAGTAGAAGTTACTCAAGAAGAGAAAGTGTTTCGAGGAGGTAGTATGGGAAGGTGCCACTGAGTTGGACCACTCCAGATGAAAGAGCAAGAAAAGGACATCATCCTAGGTGCAAAGAATGCGTGAACAAGCGCAGAAGTGGAACGTGGGTTCTGGCCACGAGGGCTGGCCCTTGTGCCTGAAGCACAGAGAGCGTAGAGGGACATGGAGCTACATGTGGATGGTGATTTGGGGGACAGTTATGAAAGAGCTGATAGGACATGCCACATGCCCAGGTTCTTAGTTGAGTGCAGGTCTCAGCAAGGACTGAAAGCCAAACATGAGTAATCTAAATTCAATTAATTATGCACTGTAATAGCCAATTATGGAAGAGCATGACAAAGAGGTACCCAAAATGGACAGTGCTCAAACATCCACGTCCCAGTATGAGATAATTTACATGATTGGCCCTGCCTCTCCCTGGAATGCATCATCTCGTCTCCTCTGAAGTGCCTCTTCCGTCACTCCTCTCCCCGAACAAGGGACTCTGCCTCGGTTTCTGCCTATGTTTATTATACAGCAGCCGTCTTCATTACCATCTCTTTGCTCCACTGTGGCTGCAGTGGCAGGCAGGAGGGGGGTGGGTAGGGGGGAGTTTCCATGGTGATTCCAGAGCAAGTCTATGTGGCACCTGTGTCAGGCCTTTGCCCCCAAGCTCTCTCTCTCTGTTGGCAAATCAGCCAAGGGTGGTTGGGGTATATTTCTGGCACCACTGAGGTTATAGCAGGGCTGCAAATCTGACTTCTAGCTCTTTTATGCATCTGTCTTCTCCATGGAGATGAGCACTTAGCAGCGTGGGGAGCAGATGAGGGTCTCCAGGATCGCATTTCTTTATACTTATTAACTGTCCATTTAACACTCATGTGAGCTTCCAGCCTAGCATTTCCAGTCTACTCCCAAGAGTTTCATGGAATATTAATTGGTATTACAAGAAAAAGAAGTTTGCGTGATCAAGTAATGTTGGGAAGTGCTGAGGGTGAGGCAGACCTAAAGAGATCATCTGTAATGTGGGCCCTCAGAGAATGTTTGCTCTATTAATGCATATAAATCTATAAAATGACTGCTAGGTCACAATTTCCAAACATATTTGATCATGGGTGACTTTTTCCGAGGCCATCTCAAGAGACAAGTATTTCATGGAAGGAGCTTTGGAAACTGCAGGATAAGTAATGAAAGGATCTCCCAGCAGTCAGGAGGGTAGAATGCTGAAGAGACTGCTCAGCCCGCCCTCTGGGGAAAGGAGTGTTATGAATAATTAAAGCCAGGCATGTATTTTCCCCGACTGTGCCCAAGCTGATAGAGATGACTTTTTTTTAAAGGCCCATAACTGTACTGACAAATTCCCCCGTAGATTTGCATGATCTGACCTCCACTGTGTCCTCAGTGTGGCCACGTGGGACAGAGTGCCCAGGCACTGTCTTGCACTATGTGCGGGTTGCTTCTCTGTGCATTGCCCCATGTGTAGAAGTCCTATTCATGCTTCAAAATTCATTCCAGATGCCACTGCCTCCTGATGTCCCCAGTCAGAATAAGCTTCTGTAGCCTGTGGCACCCAGCACTTTGCTTCTATTCCTTCAGCACACTGTCAATACCAGGCATCTGCCTTGTCGTGAAGCTGGGTGCCTGCTTGCCACGCCCACTGAAAGCACTTAGTGGATTAGAGCCTTGTTGTGCCTCCCAGACACCCCACAGCCTATGTATGCAACAAGTGCTCACTCACTGCTTCATGAGCAAATGGGCATGTGACGATATGAACACATGAATGGATGGTTTTCCCTAATACAAGATTTCCTTGGGCAAGCTACCTCCAGTACTGCTTAGGCCCAGGGAGAGTGGGCATGGTCAAAGCTACCTACCCTAGGTTCCAGGATAGCCATGACAGCCTGGCCCAGTGTTACGGGCATAACCCAGGTTTGGGAAAGGTCACCTTCCCTGTTGCTGTCATCAGTTAGCAAATACCAGGACTACTCTAGGGAAGCGAGAACGGCTCACCCTATGTTAACTTTATAGTGTGTGTTTGACAGGGGATTGTACAGAAATGCCAGGGACGATTAGTGCAGGCCTGGCTTTATTAAGTAAACATGACTGTGTAACATCTAACATTCTGTCGGTACCACGTGGTTCAGCCTTTCCTCGGGTGTTTGCCAAGCAACACAAATTCAGGAGCATTAAAGAGAAAGTGAGAGCAAAACAAGGTGAGAAGAAGGCATAATCTCAGCATCTATTAAGCAGGCACCACTGAAGCTTCCACTGCATCAGTGCTTGTAATTGTCACAAAGCTTGAAGGTATGGACACCATTATTAATCCATGCTGCTGATGTGGGCTCTGAGGTTTCTCATACAAGGTCATCTAGTTAATAAGTTGCAGAGCCTGGACCAAAAGCTGTTATGTCTGATTCTCAAACCTTGGCTTTGAACCATTGCATTCCATGGCTTCCCATATAAATAATCTTTCCAGGTATTATCAGAACAGTGAGCTCTTTTTCTTCCAGAGAATCATTTACATTTGTACAGTGTACTATAAAGCTAGAGATGAAAGCTAAGTCTCTTTTTAATAGGAAAGCAAAAGATTGATGCTTATAAATAAATTCAGTAAGTATCAGATGGTAGTAATTTGTTCATTCATTCATTTATTTAACAAATATTTACTGAACACTTTTGTGTGCTGAGTACTGTTCTAAGCCCTAGGGATAGAGTTGAAAGCAAAACAGCCAAAGTTTCCGTTCTCACAGAGATGCACAAGTGAGATGCAATAAAGAAGCGAACAAATAAATTTCAAGATTATTACAGGTTGTGCTATGAAAAGACAAAACAGCATAATATGATAAAATTGCCAGAAGAGAGTTGAAGGATAAGTCCAGAAAAAGGTGTCAGAGGAGGTGATATTGGAGCTGAAAACTGAATGATGTGATGGAGCACTTGTAAGAAGAGCTGCAGCAAGATCATTTCAGGCAGAAAGACCAGCATGTGCAAAGGCCCTGTGGGGAGAAAGGGCAGAGGGAACTGGGCTTGCTGTATAGGAAGATTTTACAAATGAGGCTGGAGCATAGTGGCAGTCGATCACTGATGGTGCTCATGATTAAAGCTGGATAAAAGCAAAAGATAGTCTTTGAAATGTGATCTCAAGGTAGTGCTTAAGATATGATGCCATGTACCAGGGATTGGTAAACACTTTTTGTAAAAGCCTTGATAGTAAACATTTCAGGTTTTATGGGCCCGTATGGTTTCTGTCATAACAACTCAACTCTGCCACCATAGCATGAAAGCAACCATAGACAATATGTAAACAAATGAGTGTGCTTGTGTTTCAGTTAAACTTTATTTACAGGAGTAGGCACAGGACCAGATGTGGTTGTAGGCTATAATTTGCAATGCCTTAGTTATATAAGGTATTAGATACTATAACTTTCGACTCATATACAATCCTAGATGCTGTAATTAATGACATTAGTGTATGCGGTTGCCCTAGGCTTCTGCTTCTCAGACTGTTCCACTGAAGTCCTCCTAAGAGCAGAAGAGACTGGGTGCATATCTCTAGGAGGTCTGGAGTTACATTCTCCAGAATGTAACACAAAATTTCTTTGAGGCTTCATTTTTTTACTTGAAAACACATGTGAATTTTATAGTCTAATCCAGAATAAATTATTTTGTTCTAGTGTAAAAGTAATTTTTCCTAAAATATTTGAGAAAACTGGCCCTCCAAGCAAATGAGCATTCTTTATCCTGTGGCTTCCAGAACGCCCCACCCCTAGGGTCTACTGACCACAGACTGGAGGATGACATAGCTGGGTACTAGTACCTGCTGTCAGTTCTGGGCCGTGGGAGCAGCCACCTCAGGATCCTTTCTCTGGACTTACTCTTGAACCATTTTCTCTGGTGTGTTTTCTCATGCTGCATTTGTTCATTCATTCACTCACTCACCCTTTTATTCATTTACTTCTTCCTTCCATCATTTATTCATCATTCGCTTATAAAATACCTGCTCTGGACCGGGCTCGGTGTCTCAGCCTGTAATCCCAGTGCTTTGGGAGGCCAAGGTGAGTGGATTGCCTGAGCCCAGGAATTCAAGACCAGCCTGGGAAACTTGGCAAGACCTCATCTCTACAATAAATCAAAAATTACCTGGGGGGTGGTAGCACACATCTGTAGCTCCAGCTACTTGGAAGGCTGAGGCGGAAGGATTGCCGGAGCCTAGCGCGTCAAGGCTATAGTGGCCAGGAGCGGCCACTGCACTCCAGTCTGAGTGATAGAGTGAGACTCCAACTCAAAAAACAACAACAACAAAAAAATACCTGCTCTGCATTAGACTAGGTTAGGTACTAGACCACAGACATCTCTCAAATCTCTGAGTAGTTTGAATTTTTGATACATCTCAGCAACTTATGTTTGTTTTGAACTCCCCTCTGCCAGTTGCTACAAATATGTGATTTTTCTTTCACCATGACTTCAGTCCGATGGGTGTTGGTTTTTTGCCATCGCAAGAGAGCATGGACTTCCTCCAGCTTCATAACCACTGCCCAGCATTCAGGCAGGCCGACTCCCAAACTCCTCTGCAAATTTTTCTGATTGAATACAGAGTATAGACTGAATTATCTTGTCACTTTCTCATTCTGTCATGTTAATTACATTATACAAAATTGCAATGCTTGGTTTATGTAACAATGCTTGTATTCTTAAATCAGACTGAGCTCACTGCTACAATCAGCAGAGCGATCATACTTAGCGCATGGTATCTCATGACAGGGATGGTGGTGATGATGTCAGTGAGAATGACAGACTGTGATCACAAGTGGTGGGGGGGCAGTGACAATGATGGGAGTGAGAATGGCAGCACTGTTGCCACAGCCAGTGCTGATGGTAGGAGGTACCAGTGGCCGCGGCAGTGGTGCTGGTCACAGCATTCGGCGAGGGTGATGAGCTGGGTGCCTCCTTGTCTGGCAGACACCGGGGTAACCCCACTCCTGCTTCTGTTCTCTTGCCCCAGTGTCCACAGCAACATCCTGCAATGACCCCGGGGTCCCTCAGAACGGGAGTCGGAGTGGTAACAGTTGGGAAGCTGGCGACTCCACGGTGTTCCAGTGTGACCCTGGCTACGCGCTGCAGGGAAGTGCAGAGATCAGCTGTGTGAAGATCGAGAACAGGTTCTTCTGGCAGCCCAGCCCGCCAACGTGCATCGGTACAAAGCAGCTGCAGGGCCCACTCTGCCCTCCAGGCTCACGGTTGTGTGCTCCAGACCCCTCCACACAAGGCCCTCGACACAGGAGCAGCTGCGTCTGGAGCCAGGGGCAGGGGGAATTGGAACAGATGAAAGCTGCAGAAATCCCAGTGTTAGCCCTGTTTTGCATGCGTGTGTACCCACACTTGCCCACTCACAGTCACACTCCACACTTGCACAACACTACAAATCCTCCCTTGCTAAAATGGCCCCAAAGAGTTCCAAGCCAGGCAGGTCTGTCCCTTTCTCTCTGGCCCATGCTGTATAGGTTAGATGGCGGTTGATCGGTCACCTTAGGTCAGCGGGGACAGGCAGGTTCCAAGATGATCCTTCTATTACCTGAAGCACTAGTGGGCACCCACAGGCTCAGGGTGTAAAGAAAATAAACTCACTCTACCTCTTCTCAAGGAAATCATCAGTTACCTGAGTTTGACTTCTTTAGATGTCTTCAGTCTTAAAATCCCCCCATTTGACAGATGAAGAAATGGAAGGCCTAGGACTTGTCACTTGAAAGTTCTTGTCACTTTAAAGGTCTTGTCACTTGAAAGGGGTGGGTCCTGAATAATCCTGCCCTCTAACTTGAGACTGGGAGGAAGAGGGAACTTGAAGGGAGAAGGGAGAGGAAAGAAAGGGAAATCCATAGAAACAAACATTCCAGGTGCCCGCCTCCATGGGATTCTTTTGCTTAGGTGAAATAATGAGTGCGTCTATCTCCCGTGTCAATGCTGGGTATAGAAGGGAAGAGAAGGGAATCCGTAGTCACTGAGCCCTCACTGTGTGCCTGCCCCGTGCTGAGCATTTCCTTAGAACCTCATTTAACTTTCCCCACAACTCTCTGAAATTAGACCATTTCCTCATTTATACTTGAAGCTGAAACTTAGACAAATTTGGATATCTTGCCCCAAATCACCAAGCTAGGCTATGGCCGAGCCAAGATTCACACCCACGACAGTCTGAATACAAACGCTGTCATCTCCCTACCTGATGTGCCACCTCCCCTGCTGGCAATGGGTGCAAGGAACTTCCCTGGCCTGCATCTGTCTTCACGCAGGCTCCACGGTAGGCACTGCCCTGGTATCTGAGGACTGGTCTTTGCCAGTCATGGCCTGAAGCTTGGCACTGAAGGTAAGACACTAAGCCCTGTTCTTCAGCGGGAATTAAGAGTTCCCTGGCTGTGTGGGGCAGGAGCAGGGTGACTGTGCAGGGACAGGAGCTCGATACCTGGGTTCTGGAACCAGCTTGGCCCTTAACTACATAGTGTACGGTGTTGGAAACAGCATGAGATATTGAAGTGGACAGATCCAGGCTTAGCTTCTGGCTCTGCCATTTCTAGTTTGGTGGCCTTGGGAAAATTGCTTCAACTATGAGCCTGAGTGTTCTCATCTGTGAGGGTAAACACACTTCCCTTATGGCATTGTGGGGTGAAGACACACTTAATCCCCATCTCAAGAAATACTAATTTCCCTTCCTCCCTCCTTCCTTCTTTCCCTGGCTTCCTTCAAGTTTTTGGACTCACTTCCCTTCTGTAAGCCAGAATTCCCTCTGGGCAAGGAAATTCTGGGGAGGCTCAGGGGAGAATCAGATGACCTCTGAGGCCCCTTCCAAATTCTGCGTTCTTGAGGTTGTGATTTCTCAGACTTGTTGTACAGAAAAGCACGTTCTGAGACGAGGCAGTCCCACATGGAGGAGGAGGACTGTGCTGGGTTAAGCTGATGAGAGCAATAGCTGTGCTGTAGGCAGGGCAAAGAGGTTAATTCAGCTTTCATCGCCCATTCTTCCACACTCGGCTTTGGGAAATGTTCCTCAGGCAACAAAATAAATGCCTCTGCCTCTTCTCTCAAATAAGCTGGAATCCCAGTGACAAGCTTCTAATTTCCAGCTCCCTGGGCATTCTGCCATGAGTGGGCCTAGCTGGCCCTGATAACCCTTCATTACGGGGAGGAAGCAAAGGAAGAAAACAAATACTTGTTGAGCACCATCCCCATGATAGGCGTTGGGCTAGATCTTCTAGCTACATTATCGTAATTGAAATCACCACGTGGTGAGAATAGTGCTCAGGATTCCAACTACCTGCATTCAGGTTTGGCTTCACCACAACAGGCTGTGTGGCCTTGGACAAACTATTTAACCTCCCTGTGCTTTAGTCTTCTCACCAGTAAAATATTGAAAATAATAGTACCAGCCTTGTGGGATTGTTTTGAGAATTAAAAAAGAAAATGCTATGAAGCACTTAGAACTATACCTAGTTCATAGTGAACACTGTATGTGTTATTCTTCTTTTATTTTATAGATGAAGGCTCAGAAAAGTGGATAGCTTGCCCAAATTCACACAGTCACTGAGCCATGACAGTATGACTTCAGACTGATGCCCTTTCCACAGTTCCCACCCTCAGTACAGCCCGTCCACTTCTTGGTCATCTAGAATGGTCAGTAGCTTGTGCCCACTCCCATCTGGGCAACCATGGTTTAGTAAACTCAACTGGGCTCCTCAGTGAACCCTGAGCAGGAGGAGACCCCTGGTGGTGAGGCAGCCCAGGAATCCTTCCAGGGCCCTGAGGCACAACAGGCAGAGGGCACTGAAGCCCATACTGGGGTCCTGAGTGGGAAGCAGATGCCAGATGCCAGGGAGCCTTGTGGAAGAGAGCTGTGCCAGGTTGGCGGCCTAGAACCCAAACAAACTGAGCATTTTGGGGGTTGGTGGGAGAGTACCAGGGTGGTTTCAAAAACATGCAGACCCACCCTGTCTGTGGCACACTAGAGGGGAGAAGCCCCTGAGCTGGCAAAGGGAAGTGGAGTCAGGTAGCCCCTGCCCAGAATGGAAGCCCCACTGTCCCCGCCTTGGGAAGGTTCCCCAGGAGCTGGGACCTCTCATATGACACAGGCTTCCTGCTCTCCCTGGCTACATCAGGCTGTTTCTATGCTGGTCTGGCAGGGCCACTCTCCATGGACTGGACATTGCAGTCTTGCTTTGCACAGTTCACAGTGCTATCCTGATCGTCCAGTCCTCTGGTCAGTCCCAATTATCTAACCCTCTGCTCTCTAGAGGGTTCTAGAGGGGAGGCGAGTGAGATACAAGCAGATGACTTGAGAAACCATCCTCACTCAGAAAGCCCTTGTAAGTGGGGCTCTTCCCCTGCTGGCCTGTAGGGAGGATCACTTTTCATCTACTCCGATGACCACCATCGACAGGAGGTGGTAGAAAACAGGAAATGGCGGATGTTGGAGCCAGACCAGTGTGGGTTTGAGTCTCAGAGTGAGTTACTTAACCTCTCCAAGCCTCAGTTTCCTCCTTTATTAATCAGGAGGAATAGTCCATAACTCATTGAGTTTTAATGAAACAAAAAGAGATCATGTACCCAAGATGCCATTCATCAGGTCTGACATGAAATCAGTGCCTCCTTGAGTATTTCTGGTATTCAGGATGATCCTTGGGCTATATTTTGCTATGGAGAAAAATGTGCTACTCATGGCCACTCAGGTTTTATGTTCAGCCTTGTTAGGGCTTATATGGCCCAACCTGAAGACCTGTCATTTCTTTGAGACCCTGATAGGGGCTAACCCAGCCCTGTAAGCCTCTCCCGGAGTAAAAGCCTCAGCATGAGGCAATAAAACTTAGCTCTGTGGCAAGCAATTGACTGCCCTTTGCCTCAGTACTTGGATATACCCTTTTAATTCCACCTCAATATCACATCTTGGATTTCTGGCCACCCCTTAAATGACTCTCTGTGCTCCTTGTGGGCTCACTGTTAACTGAGTCCACTGCCAACCACTGATGGTGGCCTGTGGCTTCCACACCAAACTGTGTTTATAGTCTCAACCATGTTTTTCTGTTAATGACCCCACACACTTTCCAGCTTCTCTCTCCACCCCTCATGCCACAGTACGACAGCCCCAGCCGTGTAGGGAGAGTCCTGGTCCGGGATCTGCAGAAGCTGCCCAGGAGGTCCCTGGGTACGTAGGTTGCTGTATAACCCAGCCACCTTCCCCCTCCCTGCCTGCTTGAAGGACCTGTCATCTCAGGGGAGGATGACCAGGTAGACTAATTGGAGATTTGTATCATCTCCATACGACTGAGGCACACATGCTCTTGGACAAGGCCTTTTGGAAAGTTGGAATGTATCTGAGCCCTGAGCAGATGTCAAGAGCACTGACAGTGCAGGAGACCAGCTGTGCTTGGCAGGTGAATGTGATCATGTTTTCCACTCCTCCTGACATTGAGTGCACTGGAACTCTTAGTAAATACCCACAAAACTCGCCTGGAAACTGGATGTGAGGTAGTAGAAGAAGATCATGTATTTTGTATGCCTCCAGACAGCAACGGCTCCATGTTTCCATCATGTATGCCAAATGCTTTAGCAAACATCTCCAATAATCTTTACACCTACCCCACAAAGAAGATATTATCTTTTTCCAATAGAAGAAAGACACTGAGGTCCAGAGGGGTTAGGTAAATTTCCTAAAGTCACACAGCCAGAAAGTGGTAGAGCCAGGTAATTTTAAAATTAATTTATTGAAGAGAAATGCACATCACATAAATTATTCACTTTAAAGTGAACAATAAGTGGCATTTGGTGCATTCAAAATGTTGTGCTACGACCACCACTGTCTCTAAAACATTCCCATCACTACAAAGTAAATTCTATCATTCCACCCTCCCCTCAGCCCCTATAGCCAGGTTTTAACTTCAGCCGATCATACTCAGCACCTCCTCTACTGTACCATACAAATCCCCACTAAAATGTGACCAGGGGCTATTGTCTTCTTGACTCTAGTGTGGCCATGTGCTCTTTGAGCTATGATTGTCGCCATGCTTCCTGACTTTGGCCCCCCCTTTCCTGCCTTGGGAAGGTGAATCTCCTCTTCCTTTCTCTCTCTCTCTCTCTCTCTCTCTCTCTCTCTGCAAGGAAAGAAAGTGACAGAGCAATATATATGTTGCATATGCATGCAAGATATCCTCAATAAAATACTAGCAAACCAAGTTCAACCACTTACCAAAACCAAAACCACTTACCATGACCAAATAGTTTTTGACTCCAGGATGCAATGTTTGTTGCTACATCACATCAACAAAATGAAAGACAAAATGCACATGATCATCTCAATATATGCAGAAAAAGCATTTGACAAAGTTCAACATCCTTTCATAAAAAAACTTTAAAAATAAGTACAGAAGGAAATTTCCTCAGTATAATAAAGGTCATGATAAAATTTTTCAAGTACATTAGAACTCTGCTGAAACAAATTACTTTCAGTTGGTGCATGCTATAGAGTAAATATTTCTCATACTTCATCCAATAATTAATTAAGAGTCTCTAAGGCAGCTAGGTATAGACAATAACTTTAGAGTTGGAGTATAAATTTCAGAGTTAGACAGATGTGCAAATGATTTTTTCTTCCCTCTGCATGCTGTGTGCTCTTAAACTTTTCCATTTCTGATGCTTGATGAAATGCAAACAATTACCTTTAATGATAGTTATTGGGATTCAAACAGGTCCTCGA